ACAGTAAATTTTCTCCCACTTGTAGGATTCATTTCCTATCAATTAAACAGCAGGGATGTTGTCACCTGATAGCCCCCCTCATATATACATAGAGAAAATGGAGTTTGAATTTGTTTTTGTCAACACATGGATCGATCGCTTCACTGTTTGTCACCAATGACCTGTCTCTAGCTGCCATTTTCACTGGCGTAAAATCGTTTACCCGGTTTCTGCTTACAATCAAGCGTCTTATGAAATGGCTCTGCGTTGTTTTCCGATTACTGAACCAATTCTCGGGTACAAATGAAATACGACTCTAGTTATAACGTACACAGCAGGTACTTAACTACACAGCTGAAATGCGTTTGATGACCTTCTCAGCCAGGAAACAAAGGTGTTTTGATATCATCCGTTTATTAGAGCTTGAAGTTTTGGATAACTCATTTACACGAAAAATACTGGAGAAACTATCAATACAACGTCAGTAGGACAGCCGCTCATTTTGTAAAACAGTATTTAACTTCGATTTACAGTAATAATTCACCCAGAGGAATGAAACGGAACAAAATGTACATGTGCCATAAAATAACACAATATTGATCGTCTCATCGGATACGGTAGACATGTTCTACATTGGGCACAATAATTACCAGGCAATGGGTGGTCTATATACTTCAAACACATTATCCATTCAGCGGTAACGAATATTCATCATCTACCACCATTGTCCAATGAGTACTCCGAGACAGCATCAGAGGCATTTAATTTACCTTTTGATTTAGCACCATTTTCCAATGATTCATTCTGATCATTATCATTACTGTAGTCCAGGTCGTACCATCAACATCACGATCATTATGCTCCGAGTCATCGTCATCGGAGTTACCTTCACCATTATATTTTTCGAAAGATATCCTCTGAGGCAAACTCAATACCTAGATTCTCCACAGAATATTGTGCAGTTTACTTGACATTTTCAGCTCTATGATGAATGCAATTGGCAAAATAAGCAGTCCAAATTGATAAGGAGCTTATTTTTGACCTATTAATGTGAATGACTAATTGTCTCGGAGAACTTCTGCCCAGACACATCACTTGTAAACAAAATTAATGTTGAATACCGAATCCCAAAATGGTGGATTACACATCTGTGAGAATGTTCGCGTTGAATTACGTCATCGGCCAAAGCTTCATGAGTAATCTTGAAAGATCCATCCTTTGGGATTAATAAAGCAATTTGTGACTTGAGACTTGTGAAGCTGTCTCGAAGGATGGCGCGCAGTCTTACTGGAATGTTAATGAGCTGTAAGTAGCATCTTTCGCGTTGAACGGATGAATAATACCGAAGTATGAATGAGATATACTGTTGTATGGCACCTAAGTGTTCACGGGTTCAGGATTTCCTTTGTTCTTATTTAGGTTGGCTCAAATATAAAAATTGTTCGTACCATTGTGATGGTTCCGTTTAGATAAAGATTTCTCTATACTACGAACACTCAGTCGGTTAATTATTCAGTATGAACGAACCAAAAAACAACCAACCCTGGCATGATTTAACGCACAACCAGAAGAGCGGCTAGCTCACCAAAATGTGGTAGGTACATAACTTCCTCCTCGTGGTTGGGTTTAGCTCACNAACAACGAGACAGGGAACCGCTGCGCAAGTATATCAACCAGCATGAACCCAGTTTCCCCACCGTTCTTCTCTCCAATTACCCATCAAGCCTATTTTCAAATGAAAAAAAGGTGACTTTAAAGTTCCGTGGAAGAATGTGAGTTCAAATACGTTTTATGTATGCTTTCCGATTCTGAATGTGCATATTTATGGTTAATTGTTCCTCATGAGTTTCCAAAACAATGTGGACAAACATTTTACATCTTTCCTAGTAGCTCATTCTTCCGGTTTTTATCTCATTTTCTCTCTCCCACTGGCGTCACCCAGTTAAAAAACCCTACTTTGTTGTTATATCGAATGAATTCGGTCGGAAAATGTCAACGCTGCAGGCACGACGATTCTCATAGTGCATGCAACAAATGAGCTCTCAGACAAAAGGTATTACGGATATTTTGACCAAAAAATAACAGGAGCTCAGCAACATGAATTTTGGAATGCTTTTCATTATTATCCCTATATAACGCAATCCTACGTTTCCAAACCAATAGAAAATTGACCAAATCGGTGATTGTGAGGATTCTTGCGGAAACAAGTTCTATAATGCCAGTTCTATAATAATAATAACTATTAATAATAATAGTAACGATAATAATAATTTCATTTCTATTCCATAATAAACAACAGGTTTTCGGTCACTATTTAGGATGAGGACTATGACAAGTCTAAAGCCTTAAAATATTAACGGAAAATTAAAAGGTTAACATCAACAACAATAATAATAAACTTACTTCCCTTTTTACTGATTGTAGAATTGTATGGAGAATGCCTAGGAAATGGGCACTGAAGATTGAAGATGGGTAACGTCGACGATTCTCTGTCCAGTACGGAAGTGTATGGTAAAGTTCTTTTGGACAACGCGTTCAAACACAAGCAGAACAATCTTCGTGGAGTTCGAAAACACAAATCACTGGGTGATAGATTGCAAACCTTCAACGCTCGATCTAGCACTACACTATGTACTGCCGCACATTCCATGCGAATTTATAGCAATAGTCAAACATCCATCGGGGACTCACAGAGTGTGACTAAACTGCTTTGTCTAGCCATCTCGTTGAACAGTTCGCGTTGATCAAAGCAGCAACGCTCAACAAATCTGATGTACGGTCCTCCATATACATATATATATATATATATGTATGTATGTATTTTACCCAAGTAGTTCCGTACCTTCCAAGTGTTCAAATAGTTTATATAAATTTATTCACGGCAAGAATATGAATTGGAAAGAAGTAGAATATTTATTGCTTGGTGTTGACTGCCAAGCAAACTGCTCGATGTGAATTCGGGGACGAGGGAATAACTGATTGATTTGATTGATCAGATACATCGAAAACCGCGCACTGTCTCCACCTTATGTCCGTGCCCCACCAAGTGTACTTCTTGACAGTTCATATTCTCCCGTATTTGTGAATCCCATTTCAACACCAATAACATTTGTTTCGTCAATCCATCTTCAGGTATTCATTTTGACGTGCATTCTTATGTACAAAGTGCTTCGGATTACGGGTTGGTCAGTATATTGAGATCAATTTGCCTAAAGTAGTTCATCAAATGATAAAAAGACGGACGAGGGCAACCAAGTCTTGCCTCAAAAATATACCAGGCCACCGGGTTAGCTGATGCGCGCAACAGCGGTTACGGAGTGAAACGAGTTTGCGTATTACATGCCAGTTACAATTTAGAATAATTGGAGCCATGCAGAATCGGCTGCTATCACAGATTTTTCGTCTTAAAAATTAGGGTGTCTGAAAATTCAACAAAGCTTGGCAAAAAGGTAAATCAAGGATGAAAATACTCATGCGAAAAAACCTGTTGCCGCAATAAAATATTATTAAGTTAAACAGCCACAAGGAGCACATAATGAGAATACAAATTGGCAAACAAGCTCATTTTCAATGTGTCTTAATCATGTCATTACAACACAATATATATGACTTGCATCAGATAAGTATTTACAATGGAAAATAAATATTCAACAGTCTATCAAAATTTGTCCCCAATTATGATTTACTCTGATGTTTCATGACAGGTCATTTGTAGGCAATCTGGCCATGAAAGTTTCAGTGCTTGAATCAATTGTTTTTGAACACACAGAGGTGGTTCTGAAGACGGATACTAACTGCCTCCGATGTGGCTAGAACGAGAGGCCTTACGTGACTAGACCGGCCCGTTTTGACTCTATACAAGGGTCGGAAAGTCTCGATCACGTTCATAATGTGATTAGTGTCAGCAAGGCACGACTCTACCGCACTTGTGATTGACTTAATTACTCCACTTCTCAACCACACAGGGTGGTACTCACGGATGCACTCGAAAAGGCGCCTGGTTGTGTGGCTAACATACTTTCCTTCACATGAGCAATTGAAAGAGTGAATACAGAAAGAGGTAACAGGATCGGGCACCTTTTCCTTCAACCGTAGACACGTTACCGGGCTAGATGTGAATGGAGTTTGAAGTTTAGCTCCGTAGAACGGTTTGCCGATGACATTTGATAGCCTACTATGTACAATCTCTGCCAAAGTGTCGCTTTTAAATGGTAAAGTAATGTACACGGACTGCTCAATAATGACCATATTAGGAAACGCCTCTTAACGTTGCATCACAGATACCGTTAAGCGCTCCGAATATCCATTCTGGGTGAATATATTCTGCACATTTTGTAGTTCTTCAACCAAAATTGGAGACCAATTATGACACAGATTTTTGAATACTTTTTTTACTTTCCCTTTCCCCTTGTAAATCGTAATCTGTTCTTGGTCATTTATATTGTGTTGTAATGGCATAATAAAGACACACTGAAAATGAGCTTGTTTGCTAAGTTGTGTTCTCATTATTAAGGTCAGTCAGTCTAACATAAATTAAACATACTGAAATTTGTGCTTCATTCAGTCAGCATGTTCACAAAGGCCCTATAGGTGTTTCGTGCTCATTCCCTCATTGCTGTGTCTGAAATGAAAAATTATAATTCTTTTCGCTTATTTACACCACAGACATCAGTAGTACTCTACGTTTTTTGACATGCACAGCTCGAACTAGTCGGATAATCGATCTTCTCACCCCATTCTGTCATCCACCACATTAAATTGCCCTCAACAATCTGCGCATCACTGGTTCCTCACCCTCAGTTATCTACCCCCACTCTGTTTTTCTCCACACCCCGTCATCTCCACTACTGCCTTTCGCTTACCTTAAACGGTAACTTCAAGAGTTAGTGGATGCACAAGTAGACGGCTTGGTGAAGACAAAGCATTCATGAACCTGACAAAATTAGACACTTATTTATCCTCTCTTTCATTCTCTGTATCTCGTACTCTCGCACTCTCCCTCCCTCTTTGTTCTTTAACAGGAAATCTCCTTCGATGGTACCCGGTTCGTGCTGTGCATCACACAGTCCGACAGTTGACACTGTTTGTCGATGATTCAGCTCTTCTGCATGCCGCACATGCCTCGAATGACGACTCAGATGATATCCGAGATGCAAATATCAGCACTGTCGCACTAGAGGTCACGAGAAAATTGATTGTTGCAGCCTACACACAACGCGGAGTTCCGACAGACTCGTCCAGTCACGTGGCCGTACAGTTTCGTCTAATCGCAGCAAGCCCATTCCAACTTGGATTGCCTGGACCTGGGTCTAGTTGGATGGTGATTGCCAGTAAGCCAAACCGATCATAAGATAACAATGTGTAACAGTTGGCATCTATAGGAAAGTGAGAGTGCCATATGCACATTGGAAACCGAACCGTTTGATAATCGATTATATACATTTATGTGGCATTACACTGTCTATCGAGACATTTTTTTCCCATTGTGATTTTGAACAGAGAAACCTGTCACACAGTGTGGCACGATATTTTTTCTGAAAAATTTCGCTATTTCTCTTTAGGTACATAATATAGTCTAAGTATGACTTTTGTGATACTGAATTCGAATTGCACATCTGAGTTGTCTATCATAGTTCCTGTGCAGTTTCCTAAAAGTAGAGCGTACTGGATTCCATCTGGTAGTAAGTAGAATAACCGTATCCAACTAACCTAAAGAAATAAATAATTTTGATTGGTTTTCACCTCTTGTACTCAAAGTCTGATAGACTAAAAATCGAGTTTACGTTATTGTTCAACCCTCTTTAAGCTATGGGTCAATGAACTCTTGAAATATGTTTTCTCTTATGTAAAGGTGTTTCAAGTTTTCAGCCGGAAATTATCTTATTTGCTGTTCATTATAGGACTCTCAGGCTTCTGCATATGATTTCTTTATACCGTGATCAATATTGGTTCATCAAAATAATATTTGAAATATGAGTATATTGGACCTTTTACTAGATTTTTCACCCTTCGCAGCGAATGTCTTAAATAATGAACAGTGATCATAAACTGGCAATGTTCACTAGTTTATCGTTTCGGAGATTCTGCTTACGAATTCCACCAAAGTTGTTAGGTTTTCCCACTTTGGTTCTTGATTAAACACCACCCGTATTTTAAACGGCGTCCATGTCAGTGCATGTAGAGTGAAAAGTTATTCAAATGGTACGTGTAAGGTGTTTACAAATGTAGCATAAGGTCACAAAGTATGCAGCGCGGTTAGGTTGTATGCTCCTGCGCTGAAACTGATTGCTTTGTTTCTCTGATTTGTGGCGAACGCAATTTAAGCTTCCACTTGAGATGAAGCACTTGGTTGGCACGGGCACATCGCATATTCAAAGGGGTCAAAATGAATGGCTTGATGATCATTCGAATCTACATATTCATATGCAATGACAGAACAAACTTTTCAATTAGGCACGAGTAAATCAGACGTGGCGGGTTACTGCTGGAATTCGGCACCACCGGAATGTTCTGGAATGGTAATGAAACCCGATTGACTCAGCTACAGCCGTTGGAAGTGGTTAAAATAATGGGTGAAAACCAATATTACAGTAAACTCGGTTTTATATACTTCCCGTGAGCAGAGAAGAGCAACTTTGGCAACACATAACTTTTGTACTGGTTCACTCATGGATGACTCAAGGACGAAATAATGCAGATGAACGGACAGAAGCAGAACTTCGCCATGTGAGGATCTCTGCAAAACTTCACATGGACTCATAGTGTAGAATTTGCGATCATCCAAGGAAATTGAAAAGCCGAAACAATTCAAAGACATTTGGAGATTGGTTATGCCCTATGGAACATAAATAGGGTAACCGCTGCTAATCAGCGACCAGTTGTTTAAAATGGAAGTGCAACTGGTTGTTACCTGTTGGGATAGCTGGGTTTTCACTGTTTTTCGAAGATAAACCAAGTGGTACACTGCTTTTCAGGAAATTGTTCAGTCGCACTTCATACCATTGCCGAGGGACACTATATCGACCATGAAAACACGAAAATCGTCCAACGAGGATTTCGAACATACACCGAGCGCCTGTACGCCGGTTTTGATAATTAGTGCCCATCTTGGGTTTACAAACCTAAATGATAGGGTAGGGGTTTCGCGCATCTGGACAGCGTTAACGTCACTTGCCATCACTCGTCCTAATGTTGAGTTGACCTCAGATAACCTCGATCCCATAGACAAACATTGCATAAACGGATGCGCCCAACGCCCGATCCGGATCGGTGACGTTCCCACAGACGCGGACACATACTTTCATACGAACGCATACACACACACAGTGCGTGAGAATTTAGTCGACAAACTCTTCGTGAATCATTCGATTGTGAAATCGCCTTGATAAAGGTTACCTACGGTTACCGGAACGTCGGCTTATATTCACCCGTACCGATATCGCTGTTTTCACAATTACAACTTATATAAAACATCACATGGCGCATCAATTTTTCGATACACTCCTAAAGTCGTTCAGATCTGACACTTTAGATAAATAGTTGTTTCATTTTGGACGAAAAACCACTGATTCCATCCTGCTTTCACTTTTGATAAAGATACCATCTCATAGAATGTCCACTTTCTTATTCCACTAAGTGTTCGTAACTCATAGAAAACCTTTGCAAATGAAGCCTGATGCTGATGAACGCTGACTTTTCATGAGGTTCCATCCGAAAATTCCCTTCTACAAGGTATGGTAAGCTCTCTTAAACCGGCCAGCTGTGTGGAATCGTATCGGTAACTTGTCCCTTCATAAAACATCCCAGGCGCGATGGGGCACTCACTGGTACACACAATATTGTGAGGCAGCATGATGAATAAGAGAGAAAGTGATAAACAATCAATGATGAGCTGCATTTCCTGTGACCTTAGGAATTGCATACAAAACTACGATGTCTGTGCAATGCCA